CACTCCAGTCTGGGTGACAGAGTGAGACTCCAACTCAAAAAAAAAAAAAGAAAAATCAACACGGATGATGTTGAAAAAGCACCAGGGGCTAGGCTCAGTGGCTCAGCCTGTAATCCCAGCACTTTGGGAGACCAAGATGAGTGGATTACCTGAGCCTGCAGGTTCGAGACCAGCCTGGGCAACTTGGCGAGACCTCACCTCTACAATAAATAAAAAATTAACTGGGCGTGATAGCACGTGCCTATAGTTCTGGCTACTTGGAAGGCTGAGGCGGAAGGATTGCCTGAGCCCAGCAGATTGATACTTGGGTGGCCGTGAGTGTGCCACTGCACTCCAACTTGAGTGACGGAGTGAGACGCCAACTCAAAAAAAAAAAAAAAAACACCAGAAGGGTGGGAAGGGGGTAAGAGTTGAAAAACTATGTCTTGGATACAATTTCGGGTGACGGCATTGCTAAAAGCCCAGATCTGCACAATACGCACATGGGAGAAATCTGTATGTGTCAGCCAGTCACAGTGGCTCGTGCCTATAATCCCAGCACTTTAGAAGGCTGAGGTGGGAGGATTGCTTAGGTCCAAGAGTTTGAGACCAGCCTAGGTAACACAGCGAGACTCCGCCTCTACCAAAAGAAAATTACAAAAAGATAAAAAAAGAATAAAAAAATCTGTACCTGTAGCTCCTAAATCTATAGGGAAAAAAAAACACCAGAAGAACCTCTGGGTTCTGACACTTATTAGGTGTGTGTCTTTGAACAAAGACCTTCATTTCCTTGCCTCAGTTTCCTCACTGGTTAAAGGGGCACTTGGACGCCCACAGGGCAGGGCTGGAGGGCCCTAGCCAGCCCCTCTGCACCGCAGCATCGTGGCTGTGGGCGCTCTGCCTGGTCCACCCTGTCCTGGAGCAGGGGTGGGGGCGATCCCAGGCGGGACTCCCCCTCCCCTGGAGGCCTGGACACTCTGCAACCCCAAGCACTGACGGCCTTGGAGCAGCGTGCAGGGCCTCACTGCCTCCGTTCAGGCAGCTGTCCCCTGGGTGTCCGAAGGACAGGGAACCGGGGAGGGGGTGGACCCAGGAGACTAGGGGCCCCCAGAGCTTCTGATGCGACGTCCCGCAAGCGGCTGGCGCGTG